GGAGTTTCAAAATTAGTGAATTTTTGGTAATTCTCATAATCTCATAAATGATCATCAAAATCTCATAATTGTAATGAAGTCATTACAGGTCGAATGTCAAACGGACATATTTACAAAGGAAGAGAATGAAACAAAGGATACTGAGCAGAAGTCAAAATCCCCTTCGAGAGGGTCGCCAGCAGATAGCGTTTCATCGAATATGGTAGGATTAAAATTCTGCCTACTTTGATCAAAATTTGATAAAAGCAGTTGCACTGAAAAGTACGTAGTAAGATTATTGCGATGAAGATAAAATGCTTTGATTTTCTTTAAACGTCCTCAGAATTGAATCAGATATGTGTATTGAAATAAGCACTGGGAGAGATATTTATTAAGATTTCGCGAAATTCTCAGGAGGTTAACACTGGATAACTCACAGTTAAGAAATTCGAACACGAAGTCTTCAATAATAATATGTCGTTTTAAGGAGAATAAGCTCGAAGTCGAGAGGCGAAGGTTTAAGAGCGAAATTAAACAATTACAAGGGAAACTACGCAGAGTTACAGCGAACAACAAGGTAAGCCAACATTTTTCCACAACAAATTGCAAGTAAGTTATGATAATTGATATCACACTGTTTTACGACGCAAACTTCAAAAAATCTAATAGTTATGTTTCCGACTATCTTAAAAGTTTCTGCTTATTCAAAATTCTTCCCATTAACAAAGGGTGACTTTACTATGCATAAAACATAGGATTATAACACCAAAGCCAGAAGCGCCATGTTAGCTCAAGCTGATCGCAAAAACTCAGCTGTTGCATCAAGATGAGTTTTTGCGATCAGCAGAGATCAAATGTTTTATTTTGTGTAATAATGTAATGCTGCAGTACTTAATACACTTGACTTCAAGTTATCCTTGCTAATTTGCCACCGAAACCAAGTTTGAAAGAAGTTGGTTTGTCTTTACATCATTACAAAAATTTTGCCTATCTCGTTATTGACAACAATAGAATAGAAGTCGATGGCCAAGTTTATGATAAAGCTTCAGGAGTTGATTCTCGCTTGTGAGAAGATTCGAGAAGATGCGATGGCAGAGTTGGAATCAAGAGGACCAAGACTGAAAGAGGTTGACGAGCAAGCAGTATTAAGGATACGGTAAGTACATCTGCATAGTGGCGGTCAAACAAAAATTCCTCGTAAGTCATAAAAAAGGTCGTAAAGGAGAGAAAGAGAGGGATAGAGAGAGGAAAAGAGAATGGGGTGTTAGGTAGACAGGGGTAACTATATTTGCTATAGAATTAGCCAGTGTTTTGTTATTAAGAACTAATGTTGTAATTTTAGTAATTCAGAACAAGTCATTTGCCTAAAATTATCTTGAACCATCGAAAATTAAAAAAAAAAACTCTGAATAGCTGACACATTAAGCTGCCATTACTTCCACCATTAAAGTATTTGAAATTTTATTGAAGGTCTCAATCGAAACCTGAATCGGCTTTAAATCATAACAGCAGTCTCTTAAAAGGCAGCTATGTATAAGATTTCAGAGTGGAACTCGAAAAAACGAAGAAGGAAAATCGGCGCCTGCGAAACATTGTTGAGGACCAAAGAAAATCCATGGATTCCTTTAAAAAGGATGTCATAAATAAAAAGAGCGGCGAGGTACGCAGTAAGACGATCTGAGACAGATCTTCCACCATCCATGCATTCATCCATCCATCCAGAAGTGTTGAGCTTTTCAGGACGAAGTCGCTCGATGGAACGAACGCAAGAAATTGGAGGAAATGCTCAATACTGTACGGAAAAAGCTAGCGGACTCGCTGGAGCGGGAAAAAGGAGTACGAGACAAGCTAATCAAACGTGATAGATTAGTGGATGATCTAAGGAGAGACGAGGAAATGAGGCGAAAAGAATTGGAACGTACTCGAAAGAAATTTGCTGACCTTCAATATGAAAGAGTGGGTAGAATTTTATTTAAGATCTTTATTTAAATGTCCCGCAATCCCTCCAGAATCTATGCTTCAGGATATGGCTTTGAAAGAAAATGAGGAGAATCGTAAATTGCAAAAGAAGCTAATAGAAGAGAGAGTGCGTTCGATACTGATTCTATTATTTTTTGGAATATAATCTTTTATATTTCAGGATAAAGCAACACAAGAAAATGTTGAAGTCTATGTTCTACAAAAGAAATTAGCCGAAGAAGCAGCTAAACTGGAGCAAAATGAGAAGGTAAACTCATCAGTAATTGAGAAAACATAGCCTTATCAACTATATATTTGTTAAAGGACATCTTCTCCCTATCGCTTCAACTAAAAACTCTCCATGAAGAGAATTCGCAACTCCTCCAGACTATTGAAGAGGTGAAAATAAAGCAGAAACAAAGCGAGAAAACCTCATCGCCAACTACCAAAACGGTCA